AAACTTTCATTGTAAAACTTTTCTGGCATCAAAAGCGAGAAGATGAGAGCTTTAACAAATCTCTGTTTGTGAAGTGTTACATAGGAAATGCATCTGTTCCAAAAACTTTAAGGGTAGTAGTTTTTCTGAGCTTGACACAAGGAATTTTTATCAAATATTGGTACCCTCTGATGAATTGAATTATTTCAGTTCCCAGGTTTTAGCTTTGCTCGAACGCTTATTGCTTATGGCCTTGGGTGTCCTGCGGGGCACGATGAGGAATGACTGATGATGATGATGATGATGATGATGATGATGATGGTGGTGGTGATGATGATGATGGTGGTGATGATGATGATGATGATGATGATGATGATGATGGTGATGTTTGTCGCTCGATCGTCAATTGAAATCTTGAAGAAACAGCCGCTCGAACCGAGGAAAGACTGCATCGTGCACAAATATAAGCTTACATTTCTAACATTTTCCTTTAGGCCTCAGTCTTCTGTTTATTTAAGCTTATTTTACCAAATAACGAAAGTAACAGAGACCACTTTTAAAAGCCATTCATGTGTTCAAGGTCAGCCTTAGACACGCGCGCAACTTATCAAACGAAGTGGAAAGGAAAACGAAACCCACAAACCTGCTATTGAATAAGAGCATCTCAAACAGCTCAAAGCCAGGGCTGTTTGTTCGCTTTCTTCTCCACTCTTGGTTTTAAGAAATGTCTGGTTCCATATTGTTCTGTTCTTTTGCCGAAGAGGTCGTGAAGGACAGAGAGCTCAACCAAAAAAGAGCTTCAACCATGTGCAGTTTGTTTTCAATTCTTCGGAAAACTGACCCAAATTTAAGCTTAACCAATTTTTGAGAAACGCTTTTACTGACTGCAATTTTCGTTTGTTGTCAGCTTGATATTTAGGTTAACTGAGTAGTTTGAAATTGTTTTTTTTGCCTTAGAAAATATTAACTCGCCGCGATCCGACAAGTAGAATTTTGATGTTTTCGCGCGGTTTATCGCACTTTTGATTTCATGTAAGTCGGACGAGATTCAATATATACTATCCCAAAAGTCTCAATGTTATAAAAGAATTGATAAACCTGCAGTGTGCAACTATCGAGTTATGGATGCAATTGGGAGGTTTGCTAAGCACTCGTGTGACTCTTATGCTTCTTTCGTGCTTAGCAACCTCCCGCGTGCATTCATAACTCGATAGTTGCACGTTGCACGCTTACCATTTCTTCATTTAAATTAAGCAAAACAAACATAGAACTATCTCATTTCTTTCTCTACCTAGTATTGACCAATAACAGATTACTCTCATGGCAAGCACAACACCAGCAACTTCATCCAATAAGGAGACGACTAACTATGCTCGCTTGTGTCGTCTTCTGGTTGATGTTGGTACCCAGGCCCTCAGGGACACACTTGATGTCATTCACGCACCAGCAAATCTTCACAAAGTTTTGGCT